AAGATTTTGGCCAACTCAGCTGTGCAGCCTGACTGATCCTGGTCTAGCAGTCCTTCTGCTCCAGGGCCCTTTCTGACCTAAAATAGCAAAAGTTTAGTCAGATTTTATGTCCGGCAATGAAATCAAAAAGTTATTTCTATTCTTATATTGCAGCTGTAAATACTGGGTTACATTGTGTCTACTGGAACGACATCAAATTTCATCATCAAAAAAGGAAACATAAACATCCTTCTTTGCGTTCAATACTTTAAAAATAAAGCCATTTTCCACCGGAAGATTGAACGACTCCCTTCAAATCCGCAAGATTTTTCTTAATCATTCCTTCTTAGCCAGGAAGAAGGAATGATTAGAGTAGCAGGTTGCATATATTCAAACTGCTACTCTGTATTCATGCAATTAGATCCATTTCACCATAAATTTTTTTAGAAACATGGGGTCAGACAATTGGATCTTTTTTTTTGTTGTAAATATTAGATTAAGTGATCAGTAATCATTCCGGTTACAGAAAATCCGGTCGCATTTCAGAGCCGGCGCTATTTTTGCTCAGATGTGCTGTTTGTTTTGGCCTCCGAATCGAACCACGGAGAACGCGTAGCACAGTTTTAGTACCATCATTATCCGCATGTGTGTGTGTGTGTGTGTGTGACTGTGTGCTTTGTGGAAGCATTTGGCAGTAGCAGTGGAACAAAAAGAGCAGTCGCCTTGAAGCAATCTGTGCGAACAGCTCACACCAGTCCTAGATGTACTCGCATCCCTCCACCTGCACGTTCCGTTTTCAGTCTCATGTCGTTTGAGCGAGGGGGAGGTTTTCTGTGTGTATGTGTGCAGTACAGTATCATTGCTGTGTGTAGGTGGTGTAACCAGAGAGTGAATATTGCGTGGGAGTGAAGTACCATTCAGGTGCACATGTGTGTTGTAGTGTGTAAGAGTGCAGAACGTGTTCTGTTAATTATTCTCCGAGAAGAATTCACTTAGATATGATGTGGTAACTGGCCTCTAAGGTAAATTTATTCAAGGAGAAAAATGAAAGCAGCTACTATTATTTTTAATATATACATATATATATTATGTCAATTATTGAATCACACAAAAGTACATTAAAACAGCGATTTCTGCTCATTTATACTAACATGATGATGTTTCATTAAGGATAGGCCATGTCATAAATCACAAAAGAAATTTTTTTGCGACTAGAAAATTAATGTAAGCACTATTGATATCCAGTATGTCTATGTTTACATAATATTTTTGGAAGTACTCAAAAAAAAAATATTGCACAGCCACTTTCATAAGTCAAATCAAGTTTGCACCATTAAAAACAATGCAGTAACCAATTATCAAACTGCAATGAACACTACATTTCATCAAAAGCCAAAATCATAAAGCACAAATACACATCAAATATTTTAATCAATGTTCCAGTTATGAATCAATGGCGGCTCTAAGCAGGGATGTTTTTAGGCTTGACGTAAAGGAACTCAGTGTCTCAGCTGTTTTGCAGTTTTCTGCAAGTTTGTCCCAGATTTGTAATTCATAGAAGCTGAATGCTGCTTCTCCATGTGTGGTTCTGGTTCTGGGGATGCAAAGCAGAACCAGAACCAGAAGATAGAACAACAACAGCAAGTCTTTAATGTATTGTGGTGCCACAACCACTCAGTGACTTATAAACTAGCGACAGTATCTTAAAGTCTGTTGTTTGAGCTTCAGGGAGCCAAAGGTAGGGACTTTGAAACGGGTTTGATACGATCTAGCTTTCTGGTTTCAGTGAAACCTCGTTAAATCCTCGGCGCACCTTTATGTCTCCTCCTGCCAGCTGAGGACTGCACATGTTGTGACATCCTAGATGTTTTTTTTTTGTTGTTGATTTAATGTCCTGAACATGCTGAGACTTATGCCCTAGTCATCAAGAAACTGCACGCTATCTTGATTTGTAAGTATCTGTTGACAGTGGGAAGCATTTTGAGCACATTTTCCCAAACATAGTTTACCAACATTGAATCATCTTGTAGGCAGGCAAGTTCAACTTCACAGCCAATGTGGCCAGCTGCTTTCTCTCCCTCGGGCTGAAAATACGCAGGTCCAACACACCAATTATCTTCTTTGGAAGTAAATGTTAACATGATTAAAATTAGCTTCGATCTGCATGGTGCAAACTGGTGCATAAAGTTGCACGCCTGGTGTCCTCAAACTCGCTTTCTGTGTAGATATGCGGTGGGCTTTTTTTTTCCCTCCTCCCAGTTCTTTCATCTAATTTGTCCACATTTTAATCTGCCTCTGCATCTGCTGTCTGAACTCATTATTGACAGTAAATATGTCCATAAGGAGTGATATAATAATCACATATCTGTCAGTCAACTGTTTGTATACGGTTGATGGGCTTTTGAAAATATTTCGGCAGTGTGCACAATCACATGTAAATGACAAACAGTGTTTGACGCTGTTACAGTTTCGCCCTGACAGAAGGTGTTGTACGTATTTTTATTTTTTATTCAAAACTAATTTTGACAACCTGTCTCCAATAAATAAATAAAAAATTGTATGACTCTCTGCCAAGCTTCTTCTAGTTGAAACTAACAACTTTGTGATGGTAAACACCAGCTTACAAACTATTAATTATGCCACAAATGTTAATTTTTTATTTTTTATGATATCCCAAACAGCCTACAGTCTCTTTCACATCATTACCAATTATTAAATTAATAATCCTAACCAAGTAGTAAAGATAAATCTGGATCAAAGGATTTTTTTTAAGTTTTGGTATTAAGCAAAATCAACATTTTTGAGTTTTTATATCATGTTCTTATGTTATTCTCTCATGAAGAACACACCGGCAGCAGCAATTAAATAAAACCTGGTGGAACTGCGCGTCTGCTGAGCTCATCATACAAATTACCTCTCAGTTCAGTTCTCTTAAGAATGATTGTAAATGTCATCACGGAGAAGAATTGTTCTGATGACGTATTGAATGCAAGAGTAGGAGGTTCTTAAAGAGACAGAGGCCCATTTCATGGCTACAATGCAAAGTCAAGTTTCTGTTAAGTTATTTTTGGTATTTAAATAATTTTTATTGACTTGAGCTTTTGTGAAACCTCCTGTTTGCACATTCAGTGCATCTCTTTGGGCCTATCTGTCATTTCTGGTGCGGACTCCTGGGCATTTTGGCATGAACCGTTTCTCTATGTGTCTGTGATATCGTTACCCTTCTGTGTTTGTCTTGGCTGTCGAGTGGAGCTGACTCTGATCGGGCTGGAGATGACAGGCTCGTTGTGCATCAGCGCTTCCACGTCGGCGCTCCGCTGATTGTTACCAACCTGGAAAGTGGAACCGTGTCACGCTTTTCATCTTATTTGGCTGCAGATTGCATAAGATTTCTTTGACGTAGATCCTTGTTGCTTTTTCTGCTAAGCGGAAGAGCCCAGAAAAAAAAAGTGTAATGCTTGCTTAGCTGTTGAGAACCCATAAACCCAGAAAGGAATCTTGTGAGAAGGAGACGGTGCCCATTGTGCGTCCAATAGGCTGTCTGACGAAATGACAATGCTGCAGGAGTTACAAAAAGACAGTGTAGGTGTTAAGACAGTTCCAGAATCCTTTTGTTCCACTACTTAAGCTTTTAAATACTCTGATATAAGTGCTGCTCCCAAGAGCGAAGTCACTACAGTCAAGAAGTCTCCCTAAGAGCATCTGTAATTTACTTTCATTTCAATAAAAAACATTTGTGTCAAGTCAGAAGTGCTTCCACATCAAGAGCTTTTTAGTCTCATTTCTCCTGGAAGGAAGTCATTAAAAGGCAGAAAATCTGTAATTGGACCCTTCAAAGTTCGTCGTCAAAGAGCTGCAACAATGTAACACAGCACAGTGAGGCGATGCTAAGCGAATCGTTTTCTACTCTGAGCACAATTTTATGTAAGTCTTACTACATTGTAGACTTGTTGCCCGCAAATGTAGCTTATTTTAGCTGCAGTTATTCCTCTTTGTTTGCATTTTTTTATTTTCAAAAGAGGAAGGGGGACGCCTCCTTAAATTTGATCATGCGTGACCATTTTGCTGTAGCTGACAAGCTCCGATTTATTTCTGGATCACTATTTGAGTAGCTGCAAAGAAGAATTGAAGTTGAGCGCCATTTTGCACTTTATAGCTGTATTAGATTACACGTGCCCTTTGAAATGAAACTTAGCGAAGGAGAGGCCATTTTAGAGAGGATGAACATCAGCAGGTCTCCTCCGCCATTTAATGCATGTATTTTTCTACAGAAAATACAGAATCTGTGATTCAAGTCCTTCGCCCCACTGAAAGGAGAAGTAATCTTAGTCTGAGTCTGTGATACAGAGAGACTAATCACATGCAACATTTGTTGTAGTTCTTCTGGTTTCTAAAAGTTGCACAAGTTTTAACTTTACGGTTTTAATCCCCAGAATTCCAAGAAAATGCTGTGAAAAAGTGTGAAAACCTTTTCTGCAGGAACATCCATCCAGCATTATCTATTTCCTGAGAGTTTGGAACTCAATGAGTGTTTTTAATAATCAGTAAGGCTTTGGACACTTTCTACTTAAGAATAAATGCTCTCTGTTCATTTCAATGACTTTGATTTTGTTTCATGCCTCAAGTTTTTTCACTGCATTTCCATTTGTAGTAAAACACTTTAAGCTGTCTTGTATGTAAATGATGGTGTACAGATATACCTGTTTTTCCTTTTTGCCTTTTTTAAGCTCTAAGTAATTTCATCTGAAAAAAAGGGGAAATAGAGCTGTCCATTCTCAGTGAGACTGTGATTGGTTAATCACAGTCTCACTGGTCAGTATAATCTAAATCGTTTTTTTTCTTCCTCTCTTGATATGTTTTGGTTTCCATTTCAGCTTCAGGTTGCAGTGTTGAGGCTCGTTTTGGGAGAATTTATCATGTTGGATATTGCTGACAACTGTTGTGGGACAGATTTGATAAATGTGAGATTTTCACTTTAAATTTTCATGCATTTTTTTCTCTCTCTCAAACTCTGTTCACAGTGTGCTGCTTCGTGGTTCACAAGCGCTGCCATGAGTTTGTCACTTTCTCCTGTCCAGGCGCGGACAAAGGACCTGCCTCAGACGTGAGTACAGTCAGATTATTAAAATTATACGTCCCTCAGATTTTCAACGTTCCGCCAAGAGCTAATGCAAAAATGTAAACTGGAATGGAAAGATGTGTGATTTTAAAAAACAACAACAAATCAACAGGTGAAAAATTAAATATTGTCGAGTAAGCTTAGGTCTGGAATTGGACTAGACCATTGCAACACATGGAAAATCTCTGATCTAAACCACGGTATGGTAACTGTGTGGTTGGGGTTCATGACCTGCTCAAAGGTGAAATTACACCCCAGTCTAAAGTGTTTTGCCACTTTTCCATAAAGGCTGGATTTGTGAACCTATAAGCAGGTTCTTCAACCAGAACCAAATGTCTCTTCAATTCCTCGAGAGTTACCTGAGAAGGCTGCGTTTCTGATTAATGACCTTCTTGAGTCACACCTGTTACATGGATATGTTTGGTAGGTTTTCATCTGCATCATACTCTTTTTACCTCCAGGTAGTGGATTGAACTGTGCTCTGTGCAAAGTTCAAAGTTTAAAATATTGTATTTGTTGCTTGTCCTTCTTCATTTCTTCTCCACAACTTTATTCCTATCCTGTCTGCTGTCTGATCTTCACAATGCAGTTTGTTTACTTGTGTTTTCTAACAAACTTCTCAGTTCTATGAACTAATTAGATGGTTTTGAAGAGAAGTAGTTTCACTTTATTCCAGTCATATGACTAATTTAAAAATGTTTGACTCTGCTGTAAATATGCTATAGTAAGAAGCTATGTAAGGAAGTGAGTCTATAATTTCATCACTGAAGTTAAGCTTAATACATACAGTTCTGTTGTCATTCTAAGAATCAGTCACGGATCTTCAAGAAAGAAAATTTTCTCATCTCAGGGAAGTGAATGATTTGGCCTTTTCTCGTTCGTGGGCTGGAAAAACCCTTCTCAAGTTCCACCTGTTTTCACCTCCCTCTGGTCTGGCCTTTCAGCCAGACGAGCGTAGTCGCCTCCAGAGGAAGCACTTGTGTTTGCCTGTTGGTTTTCTGACTGATGAGGCTTTATTTGTGTCTAAAACCCACCTCAGTTATTTTCCCCTGTGTTTCACCTGACTGCTTTAGCATTTATTTCTTGGTGTCTTGATTCAAAGAATTTCTCTTTTGTCATTTTAGTTTCAGAAGCTCACAAAGGGCCGAGCTATTTCTCCAACATTTCTTCTTTATCGTCTCTTTGCTACTTTATGTTCTTTTAGAAGCTCAAAATTGTAAACTTTTTCTGTATTAAATATTGCAAAAGTCCATTTTATGTAAGCGTATTCACCAAAGTCTTTATGCAAGGCTTTTTTCATGTTCTTTCCTAACATTCATGGTAAAAAAAAACATGTTTGTTATGTTTGTCTCTAATGCCTCTGTTTCCATCACAAAATCATAAAACCTTCTACTTCGGTATTGCAGAACACAATCCAGAAAAAAGTCATTGTTTTTGACAAACCTACTTGTGCACCGTGTTTGTAATCACACTGATCTAAAGTCATGTTGGGTTGGATCAGGTTAAAGACAAAACTGCTAAAGAAAATCACAAGTTGCAGAAAATACAAAGAAGTTAAAAGCCTACACATCCCAGGTAAATGTCAACTTTTGGTAATATAAATAAATGACATTTAAATTGCTATATTATTCAAATAAAAAATAAATCATTATTCATTTGCTTTTTTTAAAAAATTTTTTAACTGATTAAAGAACTAATCTAAAAATGTTCTCTTGGGCATCTCTTTATTTTTAAGTCAGCATTAAGCTTCTGTTTTGTTTTTTTTTCCATTTCTCACTTCAAATCTCACCATCTTCTTCTTTCTATTTTCCACCAGCTTCATTTCTGACTCTTGAACATGTCTATATTTAGTAGACATGTACTGTATGAAAATATCTCCCAGTTGTCTCCCTTTAAACCAAACCTGTGTGCGTTGTCTATTTTAAAAGCTCATCCACCCAGGGGTCTTCTGCTCTTAATTATGGGGCCATGTCACCATCATCATATTGTTTCTTTAATAAGTTCATGACCTTATGACCTCCGTCCCTGGGAATGTAGGCTAGCTCTGCTCCAAAGTAGTTGCTTACTTTATTATTAGAGATGGAGCGGAGGACTTATATCTGTCCATAAGAGCTCCTACCGGGAGGAAGGAAAATAACCAAGACCTACATCAGTTTAGAAACAGATGTTTAATGTTGTTATTTAGAGTGATGCAGTCAGATCTAAAAAACAGTTAATTACACTGGTGTATGCAAGATCATCTCTCTGTCTGTAGTTCCTGAATTCCCATACTACCACTCATTTTTCTTCCCTTCTGTCAGCTATGTATGTATAAAAGAAGAATTCAATTATAGATCTGGGTTAATAGAATGGGTTCCCTGTGGAAGAAGTCGAGGGACGATGTCCTCTAATGAAACCTACATTTCAGGCCCACAGCTTGCTAATGGTATAGAACTCGGAGGTTGAAGGGCCACATCTATGCACGTTTTACAGACTTCATGTCGGACATGAACTGATTTATGATTTCATGGTTCAGGCGTCAAAACTGTGGTTTCCAAACTGCAGGAAAAACCCAACATGGGATATAACAGTTTTTGCATTTTAAATGTAAAGGAATATTTGCCCTTTGCCACCTGTTGCATCAATCTGTCAAAGAGTTGTGTTGTGTGGCTGGATCGAGGAATTTGCTTAAACTTTTACCAGTGATGGAGGGAAAAAATTATTACTCTGTTTTGAAACAAACATACTGCAAAAGTGAGCACGTCTGCAGGACCAATAAATACCATTGCTTGTAATGCAGCTAATTTACAAGCTAACATCACATTGTCAGTTAATCAGCATTACTTTACAGAGAAGAACAGAGACTTAGATATTTTATTTATCTCATATACACTCAAAGGTATTTTTCAAAATACCTTTGAGTGTTTTGAAAAACACATTTAAATAAAATGTATTATTATTATTACCATCATTAACGCACTGCAAAGTTAACATTTATTTTAAATATGACTAAAAATGGGCATGGGCATGTTTTAAAAGTTTTCTGCGTAGATAATTTCAAGGAAGAAAATACATTTTTGCTTCACCAACTAAGTGACTCTGAAGCCTGTCTATCACAAAGTTTTTCCAATAACATGACAGCATGCGTTTGATTTGTGTGTTGGTGGGAGATGACTAATGCCGTTGGCAGGAAATATAATTGCACAGGAGAGTGCTAAAACAAAGGAATGGAGAGAAGGGGAAAGGATAGACATTGACATGGAAATAAGTAAAAAAAAAATAATAATATATATACATATATATATGGACCTTATTATGCATACTGTAAATATATGGTTGTATGAACATTTTCATAACTATCAAAACAGCTACTTTTGTAAATCTAGGAGTTTTAGCTGTTTGCTGCACTGGAGCATAGAGATGATTGTTTACACACAGGAAAAGCTTTGACCTTAGAGATGCAAGTGTTGCTGCCCGTCAGTCTCAGAAGGGTTATGAGGCAATTTACAATTACGCCATTTTGTTGGACGATAAATTGAACTGAATGTAACTGCTCCGCCTCGCTGCTCGTTTCTTCTTCTGAAAGACGGGAAAAGAAAAATTAAGATCCGAAAATTATTCAAACATGACAACATACGAAGACGTTCCTATAGTATGAAGATGTTGAGTATAACAGACAACGGTCAAAATGCTACATTAAGTCCCAGGACAAATGTAGACTAGAGTAACAATTCAGGCATATAATTTTTTTCTGGCTTTCGATTTGAAAGTTCTGAGCATTCACAAGAACTGAGAATATGTAGCTTCCCTCTGGACATCTGTACCACCACAGAGCTCAGATGCAGGTGTGTATTCTCTCCACTGCGGTCGCAGGTTTCACACATGCATGAACTCACATGGGCGCTTGATAGACATCAGACAAAAATAGACTGTGTCCCCCCCACAATCCCCCTCTCCCTGGCTGCACATTTAAATCTATTTTCATAAACAGGATTTGTTGTACAATTTTCACCTCAAAAGAACGTAACCAATATCAGTCTCGACAAAACGTCAAATTAACTAAAATCGCTTTTTTGTTGTTTTGAGAATTGAGGGGGAGGATATTAGGGGTTTTATTAAGAAATCAGGTCATAAGATTCAGAGTAAAATGATGCAGAAACCTGAAGGCAGCGTTCCCCTTAGAAATCACAGTCCACCTGGAGATATAGCCCGCCCTCCACACTCCCACGTAAAACCTCTAATGTACGGTTAAAAGCAGCTTATGAATGTTAATGTGCAGAAGTGATTTAGTCACAGACAATAGGAAGACAAAGGGTGTTGTTCATATGTGCAGGTGGTATTTTCTCTTCTCTGCAGAAATCTCACTGTAATGACTGCAGACCATAACATAAAAATGCTCCATCAAGCACTCACAGTACGCAGTTTAACAGTTTACAATGATTTATCTACATGGGATGAATAAACCAAATTACTTTAGTCAGAAATTTATCACTTTTAGTTTTGCATTTCTTAGATGTTATTTGAGAATGACAGCACAATGAAAGTATTAATATCCATTGAACTCATCCTCATTTTATCACAAACTTCAATGTTAGCAGAATTTTATATTAACTCACTTATTTAACTTAAGTGAATTAAATTCATGCCCCTTCACTCTGACACCTCTAAGGAAATTCCTCTGTTGCCATTAGTCTTAAGAATGTCACTATATCAATAATTGAAGCCTTAGTGGTTTGTTTAAGAAAATTACTGGAAAAAAAGAAACACCACAGCACCATGCAACTCAGCACAGAGGTCAAGAACTTCATCATCATACAATGGTTACGCAAAGGAAATCCATGTCAGAATGGCCCAGTCAAAGTTCATACCTAACTTCGGTTGTGAGCTGTGAGATCTTGAAAATTGGTGCTCTTCACCTAATCTAACCGAGCTTGAGTTATAAAAAGTCTCCAAATACGCTAAGATGGTTGAGACATACAGCAAAACCAGAAAAAAATGACAGAATTTCTGCTCGAATAGATCAAAAGCTAACAATTTAGCAACATTTTAGAGGAGGACAGGCGAGAATTTTATGAATACTTTCAAAATCTTCTTGTCAAATTGCTTTTCTTACAGAACCACCAAAATCTGCAGCAGTCAGCAGCTGAAACAGTTCAGTTCTTGGCCTGTTTGCTTAAAATTGATTGGGAAGAACTAATCTTTGATGCAAAATTCAACCAAACAGATATTTTACTCGAATGCATTTTGCCCCTAAAAGCTAACTTCATCTCTCTTCAAAGCATTAAAATTTCCAGGTCTAAATCTTCAGGGCTTGAAAAAAACTGGCTTAGTCACCTGTCGTGTCATTCCAGCAGCTGCATGCATGTTCGTGATTGTTCACCATACGAGTATCAGACTTTACAGATGGCTGACTTTCTATTAAAGACAGTTGTGCCAACAGAACTGCGCGCACGCTCACCTGCACACAAACACGCACTCAGGCCCTGAAGGGAGACGCTTTTGTTGGCTGGAAAACCGATGAGAATCAAAGCAATTCTAAGGAAAGCTATCATCAGATTATACAGTCAACCCCCCTCTACATTCACCTACCCCCATTTAAACTTCCTGTAAATGTTCACGGCAGTTTAAAGTCTGAGATGAATGGCTTGTGGTGAAAGAGATGGAAGCTCGTTTATTTGTTCTTTGATTCTGCAAACTTCCCCTTCTTTAATTGTGTATTGTGAAACGTTTGCTCCGATAAAAAGGATAGTTTTAATGTTTTTTATCAAGTTTTTAATGTTTCTCTTAATGTTCCTCATCAGGACCCCAGGGCAAAGCATAAATTTAAGATCCACACCTACTCCAGCCCCACCTTCTGCGACCACTGCGGCTCCCTACTCTACGGCCTCATCCACCAGGGGATGAGATGCGACCGTACGTGCTCCAAACTACACACAACCTCTCAAACCTGATCATTTTTGTTCATATCTACTTGAAAATACTGACTAATTCCTTTGATTTGCATGTGGATTACTATATGGCTTCCTTCAGACGTACCCAAACACAAACAGTTTATTCCTGGATGTGATCTTGCATGTGCTTTTCAGACTGTATGATGAACATCCACAAGCGCTGCGTGCCCAACGTGCCGAACCTGTGCGGGACGGACCACACCGAGAGGAGAGGCCGCATCGAGATCACCGCCGAGGTCAAGACTAACGTTCTCACCGTCACCAGTGAGTGTATTTCAGGAAAACGCACAGATGCAGATGCAGAGCACAAACACATCGACGGGGAAGTGTTTAGGAAGGCAGGTTTTTGTCTCCCTCTGCTGTAAGGATGGCAGAGATGAAGACGCGGATACCTGCTTCATGATTTAAGGATTGAGCTTTTGTTTTTTGGTTCATAATATTTTTGCCATGAGACTCGCCGTTAAAATAAATATTTTAGGCCTGTTAGTGATTTATTTGATGTATTTCAAGCCCTCATCAAGCTACAGAGGAACCAGATGCTTTTTAAAAAAACTTTCAGAAACCATATCCTTTGATCTGTTTTTTTTTTCTTTTTTACTATATTGCTCAACATTTGAATGGAGTTGAGGCCAGGGCCATATCTGAGGTTTGAGGCCTTTCAAAATATATTCGGCTGTGTGTGTTTGGGGTTCATTTTTCTGTTTGAACACACAAAAGGCGCCTGATCCAAACACCGGCTGTCGAACAAGGTTGAACAAAGCACAACAATGATCCCAAACCCTCGTCTTTTAGCATGTTTAAATTTGGCGTACATTTAGTTTTTGAAATAGACCGTAACTTGAACTTGCAGCCTCAATTTAAGAGGCTCCCTGCAATAATTTTCTTAAATAAGACTGTAGATTTAATATTAAATATTAGACATTCAGAAAATGTTTTGGGGAAATAAAATAATTCCCAAAACAAAACAAATACGACTTGACCAACCTCGTCCACTTCCCCAACAGAAACAAACGGCAACAAGATGAGAAGAAATATCGGTGGTAAATAGTGGTGCGGTTTTACTCATCATATCATAAAATATGACTAATATGAGTCAATATCAGTGTTAGTGCCAATATAATGTGCATCTCTATTAAAATTAATTTGCAATTTTAACATAATACTTCTTTATGATAAGATTAAGCTTTTATTTAGTTAAGTTATCATCTTTCTTTTTGTATATTTGGAAATAATTGCAATGCTGAACATGGTATAAATGTACTTTTAGTAATTCTGGACCCGTTTTGCTTGTTCAGACTCTGCCAAAGTAAATCTGCAAAAATATTCACAATACACCAGCTGAACGTTCTGGAACTTCTAAAGAACAATTAAAAAATTACCAAATGAATAATTAACTGGACAATCATGTTACTGTTGTGGATAATAATTCGGCTGAAATCTGCCAACATCAACTATGGGCTTGCCAACCAAGCAGGAAAATTTTATTTCTTAACAAAGTAATATCTATAAAATAAGTCTTGTAGTTGTGGTTTCACTCTGACTTTTATTAGGTAATCAGGCAAAAATTGTAATTGTTATGACTTCTGAATTTATTCATGTATTTATACTCTTTGTTGTTCTCTAAATTTTCTAATGACAAATATAAACCTGCAAAAATGTGTCCCTTTGTTGTCAAAGAACAAAACGACCTTAATTTTTTTGACTTAATTTAACTTGGAACAGAAACTGTTTTTCTTTTAATCTATTACATTTAAAAGGAGCCCAAAATAAAAAGCAGAGTTGGTTTAATTCAAGAATTTATTTTTACATGTAGCAACTATTTTCACCTGAAGGAGGCAGCAGAGGACTATAACGAGCGTAATTTGCACAGTACATCCATCAAGCTGAAATACAACTTGATGCATAATAAACTTTTAACTGGTAAAAATCTAACTGGGACCCTTCTGTGTCATCACCGCAGCGCCATAAACCGAATCCGTGTTCATTACTTTCTGCAAAGATGTAAACCTTTTAGAGCTGCGTTTAAGAAGAGAAAATCACTGATTGTGTTTAAACACTGACAACCACAAATCACCACAGGCAGAATTGAAATTGTATGGAAATTGCTGGACACCCAGAATTTTTTGACGTCTAACTGCAGACACACATATTGATATTTGTTTCTCTCTGTCGTGTTTTTAACTATATAAATGTTGAGTATTTGAGTTGCCATTTTAGAAGCTTACAGACCCGCGTGCTCTTTTTTTTTTTCTCACTGGTACTGTGTCCCTTTAACTATTATTACCATAATATAATTATAAATTTTCTTTCCAGTAATATTACCTCTAAATGGCTGACTTAAGAGTTGAAAACCTGAAAAGCAGGAATAGAAATAAGTTAAACTAAATGTTTAAATTCATTTCACTTAAACATCGTTAACATGTCTCGAGTTTAGTGTATAAAGCACAATATGCATGTGCAGTAAATATTTGTCTTATTCTGTGTTATGGGAAATTAATATTATTTTAGTGCTTGAACCAAGATGCTGAATTCTCCGTCCCTGTTGCTCAGAGTGTTTTAGTCTCGTCTTTGGTTCTGGTTCCCACGCTCCAGCTCGGGATCATTAACCGCTCGTTAACGTGGGGAACGATAAGAGAGTGCACTTATCACACACACTGCCAGGACAGCACTGAATCCACTTAGCAGACCAGAACGGCGAACTAATTCAAGTATGTAAATGTCCAGGTAAAAATTATCCGGAATTTGTTAAAGGTTTTGTTCAACATTTAGTCATTTCCTTCTTGGTTTTATGAGATAACTCTTTAACGGTCGTAGGAAGAGGCAGTTCCAGTTTTTTGCCGACAGGGATCAGTGTGGAGCCCTGTGTGACATTTGTGGTGAATAAGAAGCAGAAAGTGCAAGCATCTTCCCTCAAGCTTAACAAAGCAGGATCTGGTAAACAAAATATGGCTGCTCCTCTGAGAGACGCGTTTGCGTTGACTCCGATTTTGGATTTTATGAAGCTGTTGCTGCTGCTGTAAAGCAATTCTTCACAGCCTTTCTCTTGTCATAGGCAGATCAAAGTTCACGCCGATGCGAAGCTCGTGGGAGGAGAGAGAGGCCAAGCCTCTCCTGTAAAGAAACTCCAGCATGGCAAATGCAGTGTACAGCAGACCATTGGTTTTTTATTCTTTTCTGTTTCTTTTCTTTCACAATCGATTAACTCAAACAATTGCAAAAATAAAACATCCAAGGTGGCATTGTAAAGCAATTTGCTGTTCTGTTTGCTTCCATTGATATGAACGCTCGAGCAGATGCGTTCATTTGCTCACAATAACAGATCTTTGCTGTTTACTCTGAGTCCTCTGGGACTATTTGGCATTCTACCCTCTTTACAGCTCTCCTCCACTACTATTTGATGGTCACTTTAACTGGCATCATCTAATATTTATTGGCCCACTCTGCTGAGAGTTTAATGCTGGGGTCTTCGCTGCGGTTGAGCTATTGGAGGTTAGTGGAGAGTAATGCTTTAGCGGCGGCATTTTTTCTGATCTCCTGGGAAGCTCCCCTTTCTGTCTTGGTTCAAAGGAAACTTACACGCCACCATATTGGGCCCTTTAAATTTTTATGGGACAAGTACATGACTTTCTTTCACTGAAATATGGGGAGGGGAAGCATGGCAACTATCTACAGTAGTTAGTAGATTGTCATTTTTCTCTTATCATGCTAAAAACATAAAAAAAAGCTAGTCTGGTGAAAAAAAATGGTACATAGGCAATCAACACAATGGTTCACAATGTCTCTTTCTGATCTCTGATTGGCCCATTTGAAATTCTACCAGAGAAATTCAACTCAATGGGAGAAATTCCAGACAAAGCAGGGAAGAGCGATGAGAATCAAGCAGAATTGCATAAGAAGACAATGGCCAGGTCAGATAAAAGCAGCCAACTCCTCTCCAGATCAGTGTGAAAAGAAACAGTTTTTAAACCTGTAAATGTGAAAAGGCTACAATAAACATCTAAATTTGGTGAAACAAAATTTGCAAGTTTTAGCTTGTAATAGTAGTAGTTAGTAATAGTTTTTTTTAAATTAATTTAGGATTTAATGAATGACTAAAGAGATTGTATTGGAAAACATTTGACCTGTTAAGTAACATATGTAGGGTTTTGCATCATCAAGAAGAAACCACATTTTTAACAAATGTATACATTTTAATAAATAATCTTTCTTTTGTGTTTCTTCTTACATCGCTTTCCTTGGTCTTCTATTTTCTGGGGGGATTTCAACGAACCAAAATTAAATGTACTAATACGTACTTATAGTGCTACTGTGGATCATAACTGGAAAAACTTGCTGCCCCTGCATCCCACCCCACATCCACCAGCATTTCCTCTGGTGATCGATGTGATCTTGCAGGTTGACCCACAACATTTGACGAACACAAACACACAGAAATAAGAGACACATTTTTATTACATTAATGGAGTACAATTGCCTCTCAATGACGGGTTGTCTCAACGAAAGGATTAGTATTGAAGTTGGCAACGTTCCACGGTCATTTCAGTCAGATCTTCCAACCCTGTGAAGGGTTTTTCCCTTTGTCTGCATCAACGTCCATGAACGCTGCAGCCACATTTTGTCACAAAGGTTCTGAGTAACGCTTATGTTGAGAACAAAAAAATTGCACTTTCCTCATAAATTCTCCATCAATCTGACTCAAATAGCAAAAATATGCCTCTACTTCTCTAATCTCCTGTCCTTGTGATCTGTGCTGTTATTTTATTTCTATCCAAATTCAGTTTTCTACTTCAATCCGAACAGTTAGCATCTTCAACTTGAACTTCTTTCTTTTTAATCCAATCATTTCAGTACCTTTTAGATGCTGCGACCTTGGACCACCACGTGTTTCAAAAACACAGTGAGAATTGAAAGAGTTAAATTATTGCTGACTTTGACCTGCTGTTTTGTTTTGTTTTTTATTTCCTTTGCATTCTTCAGTTAAAGAGGCTAGGAATCTGATTCCTATGGACCCCAACGGCCTGTCGGACCCGTACGTGAAGCTGAAGCTGATCCCAGACCCACGCAGCGAAAGCAAACAGAAGACCAAGACTATAAAGTGCTGCCTAAACCCCACATGGAACGAGACCTTCAAATTGTAAGAAAGTTTAACGGCTTCTGACTGCTCTCATTGATATCATGTCTTCTTCTTAATGAAAGAGCTACTTTCAGCCCGCTGCATTATGCCGCTCTTCCCATGCTCGAGTGACCGCCGGCGCTCGGATGAGAACATCTGGCTTCCTGTAGCTTGTAAAACCTTGCTGTTGGGGTTGTTTTGCTGCTGCTGCATCCTTGATAATCCTCACGACGATTAGTTCAGGGGAAGACTGATAACTCCAGGCGTTTCAGTGCAGATGTTAAGGCTTAGAGGAACTTTGTGCATCTTTCAAGCCACCAAAATAAGAAATAAGAGAGCATTGCGCTTTAGTGAACAAGTTTGTGAAGACAAAAAAAAAAAAAAAAGTTGTCGTGCGGCTTTTGCTTTTTGTGCATTCTTTTGCTGCGTTTTGTAATCATCTTAGCTCTCCTTCATCTCTGTCCATCGCCCCTCGTGAGCGCTAGTTTTTAGCCAGTCCTGCTTTATTTCCTGTTCTCTGAAAGTTCGTTTCACATTTAGTTGATCAGACGCAGCCGCTTAAAGTACCAGTGATTAATACTGTAGTGGTAATTAATACTGGAAGGATTTTCAGTATTTAACTTTTCGGTGGACTCCTTTCATGTCACTTGCTGTTTTGTGAGATCTTGGTGTATATGTTACAAGTCTATTCAAAAACGCATTTATAAAATCAAAAATATGGTTTGTTTAGGCACATTGAACTTTGGTTCACCAGAACCTTATGTTCTGTTGAACCAAAACATAAGGATTTAAGGATTTAAATCCCAGCAAGGATTTAAGTTGATAATTTCTGATTCAAATATCTCTTTTTGAAAGCTTTGCCAATTCACACAATGAGCAGTGAATTTAATTTCATTTCGTACTTTAAGACGATGCAACGTCACCAGTTGTGTATCCTGGAGAATATCGCCACTTACAAAAACTTCCCCCCTGTGTCTCCTCCAGCCACCTGAAGGAGTATGACAAGGACCGCCGCCTGTCGGTGGAGGTGTGGGACTGGGACTTGACCAGCCGCAACGACTTCATGGGATCACTGTCCTTCGGCATCTCAGAGCTCCAAAAGCAAGGGGTGGACGGCTGGTAAGACACGGAGGCTGGACGAATGAGTGGAGTAGGAGTGTGGAAACATTTGAGGCGGCAAACACAACAGAGCAGGAGGGAGAGTGAAGGTGACCTTGTTCAGTACATAGGAGAAAAAAAATTTTTTCTTCTTTTTGGAGCTCTTCTTCCTAATCTGGTTATATTTAGTGCCAGAGTAGCTCTTCCCCCGTCTTTTATCTCTGCTTCTTTATCTCTCCTCTCCTCCACCCTCGCGCACCCCTTCCTCCATCCCTCTCCCTCTGTGTCTGCAGCCCAATCACTATCTCTCTAAATCTTCCTCTTTTTTTTTTTTTTTTTGCTGACACTGCTCTGTCAGGGTTTTTAATGAGATGCCAGCTTTTGAGGTGAGAGTGGGAGGTGGGAGGATGCCTCACTACACCTGGTATTCAGAGTGAGCCTTTTAAGATGCAGGTTTTCCTCTAATCCACCTCTGTGCAGCTCCACACACTTACTGGCATGACAGGAAAGGGACGGGGACCGACTAAGAGAGACTAAAAGATATTTTATTGGATTTGTTAGTGTCCTGCAAAAGTAGCAAAATGTGAATCTACAAAGTCTTGACTTGGGGGAGCTGAATATTAATGCATGCCATGCGTTTTAAAATTCCCTGCAAAAAGTGTAGAACCACACATCACTTTTGTTTTAATTTACAATTATACACCATTTTGTGCCATTCTGTACCATAACATTTCTCATAATGCATAATGGGGATTCATCAAACCGATAGAACACTTTTGCAGACGTCTTGTAGCTGGGATACATCATTTCTAATTGCAAATTGGTTTGGATTGGAACGTAAACATATTTTGCTCTCACATATTTTTGTTAAAGAAACAAACGCAACATTCAATGTAGGCTGTCACCTCAGGGAGCGTTTATCTGATTTGAGGTTGCTGAAGGTGAAACCGGGAGGATCTGTGACAATAAATCAATTCTCTAAAAAGCTCTGCACTGGTGAAGCCGTGTGGTTTGTGCTTCAGCCAAGAGAAGTTCTTATTATTATGGGCAAAATGTTCCCCTTTCACTTCTATAAAAAAAAAAAAAACATTCCCCCTGGTTATGTATGTAAGTCAATCATCAATCATGTAAGAGTGAATATCTCTTCATTTTAGGTTTAAGCTTCTTTCTCAGGAAGAAGGCGAGTACTTCAACGTTCCCGTCGCTCCAGAGGGAGAGGAGGGCAACGAGGAGCTACGGCAGAAATTTGAGGTTTGTGTGCGCCTGCGTGCGTTTAAATGCATTGTGTGTTTGGGAAATGTGTGTGAGCAGTTGGCTTTGGCCACCCTGCGTGTGTGTGTCTGAGTGAGAGCCACTCTGGGAGAGCTGTTAGCAGTTGGCAGGCACACTTACAGCACCATCCGGTCTGGCACACGGCAGGTCCAGACGTGTTTGTGCGCGTGTGGGTGTGAGGGGATGCTGGGGGGGGCCTGACCAGTAGGCCCATTCATTAACACATTTGGCTGTGATGAGGTTCACCCCACTCCGTGATTTTCCCTTTTCCTTCGTCCTTCCTTCCTCTTTTCTCCATTTGTGACACTGACTGCAAGCTGCAAACAGGAGTCTTCTTCTGAAAATGTGTTAAGTTGCAGTTTGCAACAGCACTGGGAAAAATAGAACATAATAATATTCCTTAAATGTGGTGATGCAGTTGCCTATTCGAATCGTTCCCCTTTATTGTCCTCATGTTACTTTTTTCTCTCCTCCTCTTATTTGTCTTTTGTCCTCTGATTCTGGACTGTCTTGTGCGTTGCTCACCCGTTATCTATTGTTGCCTCCGCTTTTCCTTAAGGTCGTGGTTCTGGGTGGCTGGGCTTGGCGGCACACATTAATAAACAAATACACCAGCTCTTGTGATAGCTCTCAGGGGAAAGCTCCCAGGAGGAAAGCAAAGAGCCGAGAAGACACAGACAAAGACAGAGAGTTTGAAAGGTCGCGTTGGTGACACCAACCACAGCCACACACTCATAAAGGTCTATATATGTGGATTTGGCAAAACAAGAGCTAATTTATAAAAAGTTCCAGTCAAATACTATAATATAGAAAAACATGAATGGCTTTATTCCATATTTTTGTAAACTAATTTTGCTTTAATTTATTAAACGTTATTAAATCTTACTGATTTAAGCTTATTGACTGCTTAGCTTCACCATCTTAACCTGCCTTAAAGAAGCTAGCCTGCTTGAATCAGCCTGGACATGAACATTGGTGGCTTGAGGTAAAGGAGGTGATGAAGGCAGTTTCATGTTTCAAATGTTCTAAAGACGACAATCAAAACAAATTTAAACCGTTAGACTTTGTGTATTAACTTTGTAAGTAGAAGTCAACCCCAAGGCTTTCACACTTCAGCTAAATTCATCTGCATCGTCAATCCAGTTCCTTTTACGTCACTGGAAAATCAAAAGATGCTGGACTGGAGCATTTGATTAGCTTCTTAAATTCTGAAGTATTTCGATGGAGGATTGTCTAATATGTTATGGATGCAAGTGCATCGTTAAGCCATTTCTCCACTTGTAATCTTTGTCATTTCAGAGTGCAACAAAGCAAAAACACTTTTAAAATGAATCCTCTTGTGAGTGTAGATGTGCTTGTGAACAAGCAGAACTTTTTCTCTGTTGAGAAACGGAAAACCTTAAAGATTACAAACACACACATACAGGAAAAACTGAAGCAAAAGAATAGAATATGCCTGTTTTTCTTTCCCTTTATTATATTTACAGTTCAATTTCTGTATTTCTTGTCCATCTAGAGGGCTAAAATCGGAGTGGGCAAAAACACGGAGGGAAAGTCAGCAAACGCAGCCTCCCGGTTTGACTCCAACGGCAACCAAGATCGCATAAGGCTGTCCGACTTTAACTTCCTGATGGTGCTGGGCAAGGGCAGCTTTGGCAAGGTGAGAACAACGTGTCTTTGTGTGTTCACCTTGTCTTTGTCACTTAAACGACTGGCTCCTGATTACCTGTCCGCTGTGGTTCATGCATTCTTTTGTTTTCACACGATCTTTGCAGTTCCCAAAGTAAAATAAATTAAAATAAAATGCTGTAATATTAGAAAGGCATTGGTTTCAGCTACTGAGTTTCTGAAGAATGCAGCATATGCAGAGCAGCCATCATGCATATGCAAAACCACTATTTTAACAGTGTGGTGCAGTGACCGACTCAGAGGACTTGAACTGAGCTTAAACAAGGGATGGAAGGATGAAAAATTTACACAGAAAGAGTAAGCACAGGTAGATAGAAACGGATGAAGGGAAGGAGGCATAGAGGAGGACATGGCAAGTGGCGAAAGTGATGAAAGGAGAGGGAGAAGGCGACGAGATCCGAGGCGACAAGGCTGACATGAATGAATTGAGGGAGAGAGGTAAGAACGTCAGGATGAATGAAAAGCGAGTCAGCGAGATAGGTGTGAGGGGTCCTCGGAGATGTGGAGGGGGAGGGGAGTGGTGCTGGGAAAGAATGAATGGAAATTTGTGAGACGAGAAAAAAAACAAACAAACGGGGAAAATAGGAAGATGCGACATGAGAGAAAGAAAGAGGGGGGGATGAACGGAAAGATGAACGGAGCAGTGGGGTGGAGAAGGACCGAAAGTGACATAAAGAGCACGACAGAGAGAGAGGGAGGGGGGAAAAAAGACCATTGTCTGTGTCAGACCTGCCTGTTTCCATGGTAACAGGGATTTAAAGCTACACTGACGTGTCACCGCGGAGAGCCTCCTTCATTATCGGAGTCGTCTGTAGCGGGGTACCTGACTCACATGCTTAAGCGCGTAAATAAATAAAAAAACAAAAGAGCACATTCCCGAACGCGGGCGTCTTTTCTCTACGGGGAACGCGTTCGCAAAATGCAGAAGCGGACGCTCATGTGACGCGGCGCACTTTAAGGGTTTCTCCAGCGTCTGTGTGGGAGGCTGAGGATGAATCCCTCAGAGCTGAGTTTTTTTGTTTTTTTTTGCTTGTTTTTTACGTGGCCAGATGACTGTTGCTCTGTTTGAAGTTTAAGCTTAGAACCAAAAAAAAGTGTTATACGCTTTACGAATAAAACGCATATTAACAGATGTTTCCCATGTCGAAATACATGTATTTGTTAGCCCACTGACAGTAGACAGTCTCATGCAGACTACCTGTTAGCTTCTCCTTTGATTTTCTTATTTTTTTGACTATTGAGTCAGAGGAAAATAAATGCCCGACGTCTCTGATGTGTTTTGTGCAAACACGGAGGATATAAGTAAAGGCAATGTCTGAGAGGAAAACATTGAAATCGAGCAACGCAGGCTTTTCTTTTGCAGCAGGAACCCTCTCTGGTTTACAAAGATTTGCTGTATTTGCTGCAAAGCCCTGTTTGCTATGAATTATACAGAATCCGAGAATAGGAATAGTGTTGGGAAATCCATGCAGGTGCATATTTGACATCTTAACTCTACCTGAATTTGCGCACAGTAATTCAGAGCATGCATCTGTTTGATAGAAGCACTTTAAATGCCAGAGGGCAGAAATGTCTTGTTGTGGAAAAGTATTTTATTATATTTTGGAAATACTCTTTTGTCTTTTTGTACGTTTTCATTTCCATCTTCCTCTCTTGACAGGGATAAACGTCATTGTGACACAGTATGACAACTAAGCAGCACGCAATCACATAGAATTAAAAATGAAGCATTGAATTAAAGGCAAAAAGCCTCAAGGAATTTTTTGTCAGCAAGTTACATAATAAATTGTTTCCATCTTGCTTGTAGGTCTGCTGTTCCTATACATTCAGCCATTTAAAAGTCTTTCACTGCTTTCTCTCAGACTAGCCCTCAATATAGAGTTTCAGTCACACATGTTTGCCATTTTGCTAGATTAGACATTACACTGAGAGGATGAGGTGAACGCGTAAGGTCAGAGTTTTCTTATTGCAAGGTTTCATGCTGCCATGGCAATTCACATTAGTCTGGCGAGCGTGCCGTGTTGGAGAACAACACTGCAGCGGCTGAACTTTTTTAGCACCTGGTGTGATAAAGGACTAATGGGTTCCTACCTTGCTTTTTCTCTTCTTTTTTTTCATCTAAGGTCACTGACCACAATTTGCTGTCTGCCCTGTGAGTGTCAAACAGTGAGGGAGAGGCGGCAAATGCCAAAGAGAGGAGTCTGCGTTTCTTTGTTTATTTGAATCAGTTGATAAAATGTTGGAAACAAGCCGCAAAAGGGAATGTTCCAGCATCGCATCGGCGCCGTGTAGGTTGAGACCCGGTGACTCTTTATACCATCGGATTACAGTGAGCTCCCAATCAAGTTTAACAAACCAGTTTGAAATTATTTGAACTTTGTTACATTGGGTCTTATCTTGCTGGAAGTAACCATCGGCGAATAAATAAATATGTAAATGATACATCTCCAGGTTGCTTCTAAGCATATAAATTAGTATTTTTCTAAAGGTGCTGCATTATTCTGCAGGATGAAAAGAGCCTGTTTTCACCTCAGTTTTTTTTCTCTTCTTAATTATATGCAGCTCAGTGGACTGAAAATTTGCTGCATATATTATAAGAATGATGGCAAAGGCCTTGCGGTTTCACCCAGTGCTTGAGGAGTGTTGGTTAGTTAATTTAGCCTTGATAGAGTCGCTCTCCAAGGTCATCAGAGAAAACACGCAGTGTTCAGCGTTGTTTACGTCACACGCCGGCTGATATCCTCTGGGCTGCTTATTGGCAATTGACCCCGAACAACTTTTTATGAATGAACCACTTACACACGCCGCAGTTCCTGCTGCTCTCTCAAGACTATGCATAACTTTGGAGCTGGATTCACCTTGAGAAACGCACTTCTGTATTTGACTCGGTCCGGTTCATCGCTCCGTACTGCGCATGTTTAGCTTAATGAAATGTTTTCATTTCTGATACGCTTCTCTGGTTTCCCCATCATCGTTTGTTCTCTTTCTCTGAATGTGTCCTTGCAGTTCTGCGAATGAACTTTGGGCCAGATGGCATCCTTTGGTGTCTCTGTTTCATTCTTAAAGCGTTTTTTTTTTTTTTTGTTCTTTACATATAGTTACGCTGCGCCATACGGCGAGTTCATGCACCCACACACATGCGCAGGCAGATATTTCTTGCTCGAGGTCTCCAATAATTTCAATGTCGAAATATTTTAATCGGTGTCAGGCGACTGTTCAGAATCACAAATTGCACATCATCAGAAGGGCGAATACACACACTGGCACATCTTCACACACAGTGGATCCATTTGTGCCGCACTTCAAATAGAATATCGGTCTCAATAATTTGACTACATTATCATACTTGCATATGCAAGTATGATAATGCGCTTAAGATGCTAATTTTCTGTTGTTCAATTTGAAAAATGCGCATTAACCTCTAAAATACATGCTGCGTTTGTTAAAAAAAAAACAAAAACAAAAGTTAGGTCATCTGCAAAAGACACATCAGAATTTCTGGTGTATTTGGAAATGAAATAAGTTGATCAATGTTTGTTATTTGAGACTCTATGCAGGATTAGAAAAATTTGAAAAGAACCTGAAACATCACAGTTAATTTTATACTGTAAATTTTCTAAAGCAGATCAACACGTTACGTTGATTTGTTGCAACAGTTCATTTGAAACCCAAAATGAGTTTTTTTCTGAAAATCTAAATCTTACATAAGAGCAAAAACAAAAAAAAGGGGGAGAGCATTCAAAGCTTGGATAAACCATATCATGAACCACATTGTCTTAGTCATTACTTTTCTCTTTTTTCTTTTTTTTTTTTTGTGGCCTCACATTTAAAGTTTGATGGCGTCAGAACAACGAAGGATAACTGTCCAAATCCAAGTGTTTTAGGTTTCTTAAGCCTAGAAAGTGATAACAGGCATAGGTTAAGTCGGGCCCGTGACATTTAGTTTTAAAAATTATTTAAATATTGACATTTGTCTATAGAAAACTCGGTTTAGACAATCTCTGTGTGTACATGAAGAAGTGCCCGGTCTTGAACAACATGAACTGAAGATTTGATTACAAAGTTTCTTTAACTTACTGGTTTCTGGGTCATGATCTTACTCAGGTGTTCCTGGACTTTATCATTTAAAACAAGAGCAGCTGTTTCTTTTATTCTTCGGGTCCCGCCACATTTTTCTGACCTACTTCTTACTTTTTAATCCCAGTTTTTTCATACTTCAACTGTCCTTGATCTCAGCTCACCGACCTTACTGAAGTTTTTGGGTAAAAAGAAAAAAAAAGTTAAAAATCCCTTTATTCTTGTTCTCATTTTTTCTGTGTGATGTTTCTTTTCTTCTCAGTGTCCTTCTCAGATATTCTGAAGGGCAAAGAAAATCCCCATGAGATCTTAGAGAAGCACTAAATCTTGGTGACTTTCAGATTGCTACAGCTCATGTAAACCAAATTTTATTCTCTCAGAGTGAAGCCCGTGCAGGAAATACTGACACCTGACAGAATGAAACGCATACAGTGCTGAAGCTATGGTAAAATGTCTCAATCGTTAATTTCAGATCGACAAAACAAACATCTGAGATGGAGACTTTCCATCTTTGGTTTGGACACTTTGACACATTTTACCTCAGTAGATCCTTTACCTTAGTTTAAGCACTAAGCTGAGACAAAGAAGACGGATTCAGTATTTTTCTGTGTTTTCAAGCTGTATAGTGCACAATTCAAGCTAATATTTAGATTTTGTGACTCATATTTTGTTATTATCAGTATTTATCTTTTCAGAAAGGAATTGTGCAACACAATCTCTGCTCATAAATATCTCGGCGTGTCAGAAGGTTTCCCCGTGGTTTCTCTTTTCCACCTGTGACATCTCAAAATGTCATGTTTTTATTTCTTCTTTTGTCACTTAGCTCTTTATATTTCCCCAAAATGGAAACAGTCGATCTACTATGTGGATCCTTTCCATGCCTCCATTATCACTTTCCCCCTTTTCTCCATTTTTTTTTTTTTTACTTCTTCTCTCTGGACCATGAAGTGTGTGTAAAATTGTTTTATCCTTGTCTCTTCAACCCTTTGTTTCTCTCCTCTTCCTCTCTAGGTGATGCTGGCGGAGCGTAAAGGAACGGAGGAACTGTACGCAATAAAGATCCTGAAGAAGGACGTGGTCATTCAGGACGACGACGTTGAGTGCACCATGGTGGAGAAGAGGGTGTTGGCTCTGACCGGAAAGCCTCCGTTCTTAACACAGCTGCACTCCACCTTCCAGACCATGGTGGGTCGACTGGCTTCTTCCTGCGACTGCTTTGTTGACACTGATGTAAACTTCTCGCATTGCGAAGTGGAGTCAGGCTTTTGATTATTTAAATGATAAACGCTGCCTTTTTCCAAAGACCGTCTTCTAATTACAGCAACAGTTGCAAACATAAAGTGAAATGATGTTCTATTTTCTTCAATTTAACATAACATTAATTCTGCTACAGGCTCATATTCACTGAAGATGAAACGCTTAAAATTATTTTCATAGTACATATTTTTTAACAGAAATGAAATTAGACTTTTACGACCAGCTTGATACACATAAAATAATAGTTTGACGTTCTCAGCGCTATTCTTTGCAACTCCTGGTAAGGATATGTAACAAACAATCAGTGGCATCGTTTCACATTTTAAAGTCAAGGAAATCAAATTTTGTGCATAAAAACTTTTATTCATTGGTTGCAAATTGCATTTATTGAATAGGTAATGGGTTCACCAACAGTAGGGACACCGGTAATCTTTCATGAAAAATATTTCTTGATGCAATTTATAAGTTTTTTGAGGACGGCAGCTAAAGAAACATCAAGGCTCTCGATGTTTAAAGGGGAAAATGTGCAGATTCATACATGCAGGAGAGGCACCGATAACAAAACAAAACCGAGCCGCCTTTGTTGATCTCCACACTGTCAGGTTACGTGGGAACAATTGTAGGAGCAGCATGCTGCTGCAGGGCGCGCAGGGAGCGCTGTGGTCTTAACAGCAGCTACCTCGACTGCCGTCACCAGCTCCCAGCTGGAACACACAGCCTGAATTCATGCTTGATTCATGCTCAACTTGTGATGTATAATCCGTATTACACCAAAGATGAGTCAACAGGGGAGTAAATATAGCCTGGTGGTTTTATGCGTAGCCCTCAGTGCATGACATTTCATTTCACAAGCCATAAACGCACACTGTTATTAGTGATGCGTTGTCACTTGGTGGAGAGATGCCACAAACTCGGCTGGCCTGACACACACACGCACACACACACACATACACACACCAACACACACACACACACGTGCGCGCACTCACACCAACACACACGCACACACACACACACACACTCGCACCAACACACACGCACAACTGAGAGTGGATGTGCTAATCCAGTTTAGCAGTGATTCTCTCAGCAAAGGAGGACTTTGGCCATAAAATTAAGTTGCTGTACATGACTTGTGGTGCACACATGCAAGTGCATTTATAATCGGAAGACACACAAGTTCAACATATTGCTCTCAAAAAGTCAGTTTATGAGGCTTATCAGACAGTACAGACCCTAACACACACACAGACTTCTCCAGAACGCACACACACACATACACGCATATATATACACACACAAACCCAAACCAAATCCCTCCATGATTTTCTGAAACACTGAACCATATTGGCAATTTCTGTAGATAAGTGAAGACAATAGGTTCTTAAATTGATGTCCCTTCAAGACTGACTGGCTGTAGTTAAGGCCCAGTCACCTCCGTCTCTCTGTCCCCTTCCTCTTTCGTCCCCTTACGACTACTCTTTTCACTTCTAGTGTCATTTGTTTCACATAAGCAGTCCAGCCGTGGGCAGACATTTTTCGGGCTACAGTACTTCACCATTTTCAGTTCTTGTCCTGCTCAATCTTAGTGCTGCATTTGATATTGTGGTCCGTTCAGCACCAGGAGGTAGACTGTCATGCACTGACCCCGGTTCTGAAACAGTTTAGCATCAGAGGTTTCAAACCTTTTAGTGATTTAGGTAAATTGTGGTGTTCCACATGGCTCAGTTTTAGTCTGTGGAAAATTGGAAAGAAACGTAGTGAAAATGTCCACAGTTTCCACAGACGATACTCTGCTGGGTTTTCTGGTGACACAAGAGCTTTGACTGTACCTTGATGTCTGCCATCGATATCAATACAATGCTAACATATTTTCTACATCTAAACCAGGAAAAGCAGAGGTATTGGTTGTTAATCCTGAGACTGATGCTCTTGCAAAAATACACTCATGACTTTGTCTCTACCTTAATTCTGATTTATTTTATTTTGTCTGGTCTCAGTTCTTGTGTTTTAGTCATTTTTTAAATGTGAACCACCTGTAGAAAAACATGCTCTCCCTATGATGACATCACACTGCACCTGACCTCTTTGGTTTTATTTGCCACAAGTCTCATCTGTCTGAAATAGATTAGAAACATGGATGATATATATATATATATATATATATATATATATATATATATATATATATATATATATATATATATATATATATATATATATATATATATATATATTCAGTCTAAACTGTATTTTGGTGTTCTTTTTTATGAAATCTTAATTATAATATACTTCTTATATCAGAATTACTTCATGTCACCTTTTGTGAACATTCTGATGAAGCATCATAATTAAAGATCACGACTCTGTCCGTTTTCCTTCCTGACCCTTCTCTCGTCACCCGCCCTTCTGTTTCTCTCCGTAGGACCGTTTGTATTTCGTCATGGAGTACATAAACGGCGGAGACCTCATGTATCAGATACAGCAGGCTGGCAAGTTCAAAGAGCCCCATGCTGTGTGAGTACACAGAACATGCACCGCATTTCTGCTACCAGGGTAAAAATCTCAATCCTCGGCAGATACTATAGATGTTTCACAGCTCAGTGATGCTGTTTCTCTCTCTGTAAAGAAGCTACCAGCTTGGGGTTAATTAGTTTTATAGTCTGCAGCTGCCAGAACTAGGTGTGTGACATAAGACGTGTGTGTTTCTCTGGGTACGTTTTCTGCTCAGGGGAGTGTTGGTGAGTGGAATAGCATGCTCACAATAGAACGTAGCTACTCGACACGTATGCAAGTATCCCACAAGTCTGCGACAAGCGCAGTCCCCTGAATACCAGTGTGAACGAACTGAGGCTTGTCGTTGTAATCTTTGTTACGTCCAATGTGTTTTCACCTCTGGTAAGTCCTTGAAACATCTCATCATTGTCACAACTAAAGAGTTACTTTGAAAAATTTGACCTGTTAAGCTTCCCAAAACATAATGCCACCAACACTGTGCTTCTCAGTAGAAACATTGTTTATTTGTGCCATTAAAGTAGTAGAAAATTGATAATGACTCTGACTTTTTGCCCTGCGTTGTGTTCACTAACAAACACTCATTTCAAGTTCAAATAAACAGGCTGAGTTTCCTTGTTCTAACCTGCCTGCCCACCTTCAGATTGTCGTCTCGTATATTCCTGAACAAACCACGTCGTCCAAACATGGCCGCCTGCGTGGTCAGTCTGCTAAAGGCCCTTCCTGTTGATCTTATCAGCTTTTCTGTGGCCTTCAAGAGACAGCTCTGACCTTTATGCAGAGTAGACGTGCGCAAATTAACTCCCCTGTTTACCCACCGTCTCTCAACCTCACTGTAATTGGTGCTGCTGTTTCTCTCTTCCTGCGTTTCTTTTGTAGGTTCTACGCTGCTGAGATAGCTATTGGCTTATTTTTCCTGCATCAAAAGGGCATCATCTACAGGTAACGTCCACAAAGAACTGACTGACTAAAGTACAAAGGCAGCAAATGGAGCAAAATTATGCTAAAATAAACATAGCAACTCCCATAAATATCAGCCTGTCTAGTTGTTGGAAAGCAGAAGGAGCTGTGTTCACACAACAGTGCATGTATTTTGTCCACCTGCGTCACATAAAACCTCTCAGAAGAATGAGATGATCTCAATAATTCACTTTAGCTGGACAATTTGGTCAAAGTTTAAAACAACAGATAAACGTTTCAGGATGGTGAGTTTTTAAGTAATGTTCAACATTACACACATCATCTTGATTTTGCTCATTTAGTATCTACTTTAAAAAAAATTGACAAGCAGCTGTTGAGAGTTGTGCCAAACAAAATTCAATTTCTTGACCAATTTTAGGGATCTGAAGCTGGATAATGTGATGCTGGACTGTGAAGGCCACATTAAGATCGCAGACTTCGGTATGTGCAAAGAAAATATGCTTGATGGAATCACGACCAAGACCTTCTGTGGAACACCAGACTACATCGCTCCGGAGGTACTCAGCCCGCCTCGCAAGATTCGTCAGTCGGGAAAACTCAAATTCAAACAATTTGGTCAAAATTAGAGAACGTGTTCATTTTACAATCTGGCTATTTGCTAAGTGTTTGGGATTATTAAGTCTTGTTGATTAATACAACTGTTCTCGTTTGATTTCAGATTATTGCCTATCAACCTTATGGGAAATCTGTGGACTGGTGGGCGTTTGGAGTATTGCTTTACGAAATGTTGGCTGGACAGGTTGGTCTGCAGCTTTACGAAAACTAGAACTTTTTTTTTTTTTATTGAAAAGAAAAGTATTACATTATCAGCTCCTGATAAATGATTGAAATTTTGATTTTATGAATTAGTTTTAAGGTATTAAAATATTTCATTATTGAACATCTTTTCCCTCTCCATTAATACCAGCATCATGTGTATGTTTGTATGAAACTCAGATATGCATGGCATTAAACTGAAAATTAGAAAGACTTTTACTTTTAAACTGATCAAATTTGTTCAGTTTTGAATGTTTTTTTTTTTGAGAAAAAAAAAATAAAACATTCAAAAATTAATACAAAAATATGATCATAATTGTGTTTAGCACACCCTCTGTCTGTCCTGTGTTACATTTCTCCTTTTCCTCCTCAACTCATCCCTCTCTTCTGCAGCCACCATTCGATGGTGAGGACGAGGACGAGTTGTTTCAATCCATAATGGAGCATCACGTCTCCTATCCCAAATCGATGTCTAAGGAAGCTGTGGCCATATGTAAAGGAGTAAGTATTCACACGCACACAAGGCTGCTTTATCAAACAGTCATCCTGTAACAGAGGGACCTTCAGTCAATTTAGAAAGAAAAGGGAGAAGACAGAAGGACAGAAAACATTAAAATATTCTTCATAATTGTCGCATGCATCGACTACTGGGATCAGGTAGCATAAGTGTGTGTGGTTTGCTCAGCCTTTACCAAAATGATGCTCTCACAACTCCCAGCTGCGCGGGACTGGTGTGTGTGTGCGTGCGTGCGTGTGTGTGTGGGGGTGTGTGCGTGCGTGTGTGTGTGTGTGTGTGTGTGTGTGTGTGTGTGTGTGTGTGTGTGTGTGTGCGCGTGTGTGTGTGTGTGTGGGATAGGGGAGGTAGGCTGATTACTATAACAAATGGAGTTGGTTCTCTCTATTAAACCTCTGTCTCATCTGCTGCCTCGAAGCTTCACTGACCACAGCAGACTACACAAACACACACACACACACACACACACACACACACACACACACACACACACACACACACACACACACACACACACAGTACTGGCTAATGGATGGATGGTAACATATCCTTTTTATTCTGATCATGTTGTCTCTCTACAGCAGCTTCGCTCATGTTATAGATCTAAGAAAGCTTAACAAAAACCTAAAAGATATTCACGCATTAAACCTGATCTCGCATGAAACAGGCGTCACTGATTCAAAAGAAGTCGTATGTTTTTATTTGAGCCTTTTTTAAAATCAATGAACGCTGAACTGCACTTATTCTGGCCCGATACTTGTCACACTCCCTCCTCCTAAATTTAAAGGCAACGTCATTCATGTCTCTTAGATACATACACACACTCACTCATAGTCTGTCAGTGACACGCAGGCTGTATGTTATATATTAGTTATGATTACAGTGCTGTAGTGCTCCGACAGCGAATCTTCAACGGAGCATGAAAGCTCGCCCGTGTCCACCCCCAGGTTTCTCTGCTCCCTGCCAGCGCTGCCTGGGTTAAGTCATTTTGTGTCTGTGCATCTGACTGGACGAGCCCTGGCTTTTAAACACTACAAGTAATTTCCATTAGAGGAAAAGTAGAGCTGACTTTCAGGTGTGTGCACAGAGAACAAATGCAGAGACAGACATCATGTCAGCCAGGAACACTGACCAATTCTGTTGGTCCTGACTATGCCAGATTATTCTTTTTATTTCTTAAGAACAATAAATGAAACCTTTAGAATATTTAAGGACGGTACAGACGATTATTCTGTTGAAAATGATGCATAATGTGAATTATAAGGTGGCGCTGCATAAAAAGGATCAGCATGTGAAACATCTTAACTCCAGGACTACCAGTATCATTTCATTTAAAAGGATGTGTAATATTTTAATTAAAATAAGCTGTCAGGTTTCAGATGTTTTTTTTCTAATTCTTAAAAATAAAAACAAACATTCCCATAGATTGACATCCCTGTAAACCTCTGTGTTGATGTCTTTCAATTTTTGCAGTGTAGTTTGTAAAAAGCTGAAAAAGTTTTGTAAACTTTAGTGCTGCGTATCTTTTACTATGAGTCAGAAGTTTTACTTTGATCATAGATTTAACAAATTGCTTCAATCGTTAGCTCCTCTACTTTAATTGTACTCTTTAAAACATGTTAGATATACAGTTGAGAGAGCAACTCTAGTGCATTTTGCAAGTTGAAAGTGCCGACTTCTTTGTTGCATGTTTTATGACTGCTGTGGGTTGTGTTGTACATCTTCATTCGCTGTGACATTAACATCGGACATAGGCGATACTAACAATGTTCACGCAGCGGCTTTAGCACAAATGGGACAGCGAAAATGAAGCAGCACCCCTGTTGACAGACGTGTTCTTTGTTCAACACGAACAACTGCAGATGAGTTGCAGTTCAGAAATAATTAATTTGGTGGAAGGAGATGGTGAAGGAACAATGAGACAGAGAGGGAAAAGGTCACTGGTCCAGCAGGCCGGAGCGTCGGCGGAGAGCGTAGGCGGGAAAAGGTGGCGCAATGCTCATCAAACCTGCTTCTCTCTTGTCCGTTTCTGTGCAGCTGATGACGAAGCATCCCGCCAAACGACTGGGCTGCGGTCCGGAGGGCGAGCGCGACATCCGAGAGCACAGCTTCTTCCGCTACATGGACTGGGAGAAACTGGAGAACAAGGAAGTGCAGCCGCCGTTCAAACCCAGAGCCGTAAGTCTGTCGCGCAGATCAAACACGAGATGTTCAAAAGACACTCATCAACTTAAGCAGAGAGCAACGCTCCTTGTGCCAGATCTCTACTCTTGCCTTTCCTTTACTCTCACATCGCGTCTTTATCTGTTACTGCCTGTAATGTTACACTCTATCTCTCCTCTGTGGCACGTTGTGCACAGGTAAGTCTGAACATAGTGGGGCTTCCTGAAGGATGTGTGGCTGGGATGGGGGTAGCATTGGGTATAACGACGATGGTGATGGTAACACCACTGTGGCAGTACCGTGCATGCACAAGATCGGTGCTTTGCAGTTTGCAGTGCAGATGTGCTCTGCATGAGCTCAGAGGGGGTTTTTGTTTTTCGCTTTGGAATAAACCTCCAGGGAGTAGGTGCACGTCCTTAAAGTTTCTGCAAAAAAAGAGAAAAGTCTTGAAAATAACTCTGTTTGTGTGTTTCTTCTATTTTTTTTTTCTCTCTTTCTCTTACAAGATGGGTTTGATCATAACTGTAGTCAGAATGATGTCACCTAATGCTCACACACACACACAATACATACAGACGCTCTCACAGCCTTGGGCCCTTCTGCTGCTTAAGAGTTTCTTTTTTTAATTTCTCTGAGTTGAGCTTTTTATGCATCTTTCTCTGCCTGCAGGGGTTTTGTTTTTATGTTTTATTTCTTGGTGGACTGTGTGTTTGATCACTAATGCGGCTGCGTGTAGGCATGCATGCGTGTGCATGAGGATTTTTATTTTAAAAGTAGAGGTCATGCCGAGGACCTGGCAGTTGCAACACAGGCGGCTAGAGAGTAAATTCCTGTAGTGCAAGTGCAGACAGAAGCTGTCTGATCTCTTTTCTGTCTATATCTGTCTCCTCTTTCTGTTGGATCTCGACTTTCAGGCACCTATCGTCTCCCAGGTCTTTGCCTCATCTCAAACTCCTCCTCTCTTTTTATCTTTTCTATTAATAAGAACAAACAGCGTTAGTCTTTTCTGGACACTTTCGGCAGAGGCTCTTTGATCCTCGACAGCAGCCTATTTCAATGAGGGAAGTTTGTTTTTGATTTGTGTTATTTTTGATAAAGTGAATTACATTCTTTCACTAAAAACACCAAAAAAAACATGCCTTATTATGTTATTAGGGATATTTGATGCTGATCAAAAACAGTTTTTTTTTCATCTTCTCTGGTTTTAAAATGCTGTTAATGCCTTTGGAGAATCTGCTCGATGCGAAGCCGCATTAACTTGTGAAAGTGCGAAGGCCTCGCACACCGAGACGCAGACCAGCTGAACGGCTGGTTCATGCATTTACCCAGCACATAAACATGTTCACGCCGTCACTCTGAAGTTTCATTTGAAGGTATCGCTGTGCGCCCGTCTTCATTCATCTGTCCTCTCAGCGATCGATTGTCAGCTCATTTCTCCTTCATCGCCTCTCCATCTGTTCACATCTGCCACGCACAAACCCATCAGCTTCATTTCATCTGCACATTTTATTTGTCCTCTCAGTGTTTCAAAGCTGTCTGGGTATTTCTGTTTGATTTGCATGCTCTGGGGTTCAGTCTCAAATTAAACCTGTCATGGAGTGCACTAGAAAAGAAAAGAGAAACACAAAAGAAGTCACTTGAAACCGTGTCCAATTTTTTTCCAGAAACATCAGACCAGGTGTAGTGTGCATTAGGGACCCGTTTGCTTAATAAAACACTAACAAGCCTTTGAAAGAAGCATTTTAATCTAAATTAACTGCTGCGTCCATTAGCTTGTTCACTATTTCAAAGTCTTTTGTCTCAATCAGGTACGGATCAGTTAACGGTACCAAAGTATATGAAGGATTTAAAAAGTTTCTCATATTGGTCTGACACAAATTATAAATAAGATTACCAAAGAGCAGCAATGGTTATTCATACAGCTGCTAAAATGATGATTTTTAGTTATAATACATTTGTTAACATTGCAAATTAGCCAAGCGTATAACATCTTAAATGTACACACTCATCCTTGTCAAAAAAAAGTAATAAAATATTCTAGATATTAGATGGCATAAAGATATAAACACTTGCTAAATTACTTTTCAGTTGAATTATTTTTTGCTGCTCTTCTTACAGAGAAACTACGGATTATAACAAGCTAGCTTAGCTCGTTGGCTCGCCTGACTGTTTGCAGGCCTGCAGTCTGCTGCTTGTAGCTTGGAAACGCTCTAAACTGACAGCAGTGCAGGGCATTTAGACGAGGGTGAATTTGTTTTAGACGGCAGCGTGTGATGGCGATTTTTTGCGGTTTTTGGAAGCCCATCTTTCTACCTCAATACCGTTAACCGGTCCGTAATTCATCCAGGTACTTCTAAACATCCACTCCAATTTTGGTTCTCACTTTGTAAATTGTCCCAAGTCTCACAGCAGTCAGTTAAATTTCCCCTGGTGTTAGATTTAATAACGTTCTAGTTGTCCTCTGGGCGATGTTGTCAGAGAGTACAGGATCATTGGTGTGTTATTTGAAGCTTTGGATAATGATGGAGACGGGAGGAAATAAGTTCCTCTGAAGCACTTTCATGGGGAAAACTAGGTTTTAGAGACTTCCCTTTTTGTGTATTCGTTGGTCATAACTTTTTCTCTCAAAACTTAATTGCCAAGAAGGGAGAAAATTGTAAAATCTAAATTCTTGCTGAAAGGAAATCATAAATGTTAATCTTTTCAGTTGCAAATGATTGTTTATGAAACCAAAACAAATGTGGGAATTTAAGTTTGTTAAAGTGGTCCTTTGTATCTGTGCTGATTTAGTTTATATCAGCAGGTCTCAACAGCTGTAACATCAAATTAACCTGCAATTAACCCACAATTATTCAAATCTCGTAGCTCTGAGGCTGCTCATGTGTAAATAGAAAACCGACTCCAGCTCCAACAGTAATAAAAGAAGACGACGTTTTGGACACCGAATGCTTGGTGTCCACATGCATGGTTGTCGGTTCAATGTAGTGCACTGCTCCAGGATGTTTGAGACATTTTCTTTTTCTGTTTGAAATTTGAGAATACGCTTCAAATATTTGAAAAAGGAAAGCAAAAGTGAGGTGTGCTTCAGTTATTGTCTCCCGCCCGGGGCACAAAATCGAGCGCACCACCCTTACTTTGCTTGTTCTGATATTTGAAACCATTTCCAAGTGATGTCATCTCACACCTTGGTTCCATTCCCTTTTCTTTTGTTTTTCCTCTCCTTCTACCCTCACCCACTCCATCCATTCCTGTCCATCCCCACTCCTCCTCTTCCCAATCCATCCCCTCTCCCGCCCTCCTTGACAGTGCGGACGGGAGGCCGAGAACTTTGACCGCTTTTTCACGCGCCACCCGCCGGTGCTGACCCCCCCTGACGAGGAGGTGATTCAGAACTTGGACCAGGACGAGTTCCAGGGATTCTCCTTTATCAACCCGGCGTTCCCAGCAAGTGCTGCTACCGCCGCCACTGCCGAGCAGGCTTGATTTCCGCTCCACGCACCGGAACATGGACTCACACGCAGAAAACTCCACGGCACACACACACAGATACCAATACCAGGCCATGAATGGACACAATGACGCTCTGAGCGCAGATTTGTTGTTCAGACTTTCACATCTTGTGTTAACCCCAATCTGAGGTTCAAAACATAACTGCATGAACTGTAGCGCTCTGGAAGTATAAAAAGCATATTTAAAATAACTACAGTATCTTGCAAAATAATTTTTTTCATATTACAAAAGAAAACTCATTTTAAATGTATTATATCTGGTTTTCTCGATAGATTTATACAAAGTAGTTCATAGTTATGGTATGCGAGGGAAATAATCATTACATAACATTTTTCTTAATAGAAATCTGAAATGTGTGACATGGATTTTTACTCAATCCTATTATATCTGTGAATAAAATCTGCCAAGACAAGGCTGTTCAACAAAGCAGGCCATGCAAAGAGAACAAACCAGTGATAACTGTGGAGGAGCTGCAGAGAGTCACAGCTCATGTGAGAGAGTCCAATTGACAGGCCAGCTTTTCATTGAGTTGGGTCAGAAGAAAGCCAATATGTGGAAGAAGGTGTTTTTGTTAGAGGGATCAAAATTTAAGATTTGAAAGTTGATACATAGATGCTCCAAAAGAACTTCGGCTATTTTGGTGAAAAATTGGCAGAAATCTTAAAGCTCAGGATCTCAAATCTCTGAAAGTGTAACTATAGATTTAATTTCTAAAACATTAACTTTTCACCTATTCCAGCTGTGAAAGGATGCTCCACAGTTTTGCTTGATTCCCAATAAAATATCTTTACCATCTTAGTTGTTACTGGGACTTTGCAAGATACTGCAGATATATTCTTTATGCTTTTGCTGTCCAGTTTTTGCGACAGCATAGTATAACAAACAAACGAAGTATGCCATCAGTGTATTAACCAATGTATTGTAAGGATATGCATGATACAGTGAAAACTTTTATAGATAAAAGCATGGGAATCTGATTCACCCCAAGTTTTTCAGAATCATTGCTAGCTTGTGTTTATTGCAATGTGAACAGAGATTTGTGCTTAATAATCATCAGCGCAGAACCAAAACAAGGACGGAAAAATAACTGGATGATTAAATTTTTCACAAAATGTCAATTTAAACAGTTTAAAACGATTATATCACACAGAAATAATTTAACTGACAATCTAGTAAATTTTTTGGCTAATAAAGGCCAAGTATTGAAATCAAATGCAGATTTTCTGTGTAAACAAGCTCTGATCTTTGAGATTTTTACTTTACTTTTTGGGGGGGTTGAAACTTGAACATTTTAGTTAGATATGTGCATTTTAATGGGTATATATCTGTGTGAGTGTCTGTATGTTTATCCTTATCTAAAACTGGAATGCTTCACATACTTGCATGGTTTCTGTATTAGGAGTTTCTCTAGACTTTTGTTCCTGCCTGTTCTATCGTGAGTCATTTTACAAAACCTTGTTTTACCCTATCAAGCAACCACGTGTACAGTCACACTTGCACCACAAATATCTAATTCTTAGTGCATGTTACTGCTTTCCATCCATTGGATCGGTATGGCGAAATGCAGTTGGGAACTTGGTGTTGCTGGAAGGCTTGAAGTAGTTCATTATCTAGATAACGCTCTTTCTTCTACTTGGATCGGATGTATTGTTAAGTATTTAACCTGGAAACAAGACTTTTTGTTTACGTTACAAATGCATGATTCCTGTACCCTGACATTTGTTTACAATGTGTGTGTGTGTGTGTGTGTGCATGTGGGTTTTGTCACGTGTGTATGATGCTTGTATGCAGAAAATTTGAGGGTTTTTTTGTTTTTCTTTTCTCAACACGGAAAGCTTCGCCTGTCCTCGCTTACATTTTCTCATCTGCGGAGTGTTGGCATGGCCACCTCCTCCTCATATCGGTCCAGCTTCTTTTGAAGTAATTAGTCAGAAGCCAAAGTATTGGCAGAAATGTTTGCGGGACAGTTTTTAACAACCAAGTGATCTTCACTTTTCTTTATTGTCTAAAAGAATAGTTTCCACAAAATTCAGAAATGGGAGGAAAGGAAAGCTTGGATTCATTTTTGTGTTTTCCAGATGTAAACAACGTTGGGTTAAAAGGTGATAAAACTGAATTAAAAAAAAATTGCACAGCACACTTTTTACTGTTTTTATATGATGCATAACACATTACGGTTGGAATCGCATCACATCAGGGTCAATTGAACATGTTAACTTACCCTGAAAACAAAAGCTATACAGATTGTATTTTTGCAGCTTCTCCTCTCAAATGGCATGCTTATTTATTTAATTGAACAATATTCTCTTTAATTAATTGCTTAAAATATGCAAAAAACATAATTCCAAGTATCTCAATAAACTGGTGAGGCAGCTAAGTATTGATCATGTCGGTTTGCATACATCAACAAATGGAGACAATTAGAGAAAAGAACATAAATCATAGTTACAAAATAATTTATTGCAAGGACTTAAAGACAAAAATTGCATGTCACTTCCTCTGTTTGGCTAAAATGTCCTTCTTTGCTTTGCTAGATAGCTAAAAATTAAGAAGTCGACGTGTTTGTAATAGGTCTGAATTAGATTATGTTCAAAGTTTTCAAAGAAATGTTCTCAATCAAATCCTGCTAATTTCAAGACTGGATTCGCAACACTGGATGTAGATGACTATTTTCAAAGATAATAGCTTGTTGGATTCACACTTGGAGGCTCGATTTTTTTTTTTTTTTTAAGTTCCAGAGAGATATTTCAGAATGCCCTGAAGGCAAAACTCCAACATAGAAATTCAGCGTTGGGTGAGTCACGGCAAGTACATCACCCAATATGGCTGCCAAACAACTTAAACACTTATGAGAGGTAATTTTAACAAGTTAATGATCTGTTAGTTTATGTGTTTATGTACGTGTTGGTTTAGTCCAGACAGAAGCAGAAAAACGCCTGTGAAATCTGTTGGTGAACATGTTGGTTCTCTTAGTGTTTGAATACATACAGTACATTGGAAGTCTAAAAAAATTGAAAGCTGAAAAACAAGTCAATTTCATGAGCTTTCCGTCTTCTGTTAATCCCAGATTTTAATCCCAATTTCTGAACAACAAGCTGAACACAGTCCTGTATATAAATTTTGCATGTCTACATTTACTCCGAGTTTTTCTGCGTTCTTAGTAAGTCAGACTTTAATTTTGTCTTCAGATCAGACACAGTTTTTGAGTGAAATCTGGTACGAGTACAAGCAGGTTTGCATAAAATAGATCCGCCTCCGTTCAGGTCCCTCGTTGGTCCTTACAGCTAATTTATAAATAAACCATGACGCATGATTCTCTCCACCAACCAGGCATTGTAACATCTACTGTAATGCGGCGCTCTCTTTTGAAACGCCGTTTGGTTTTACAAAGATATTCAACTCTTGTTTGTGTGATCAGTGAGACGATGTGTGTGTTTTATTTTGTTTTTCTGTTTTGCAAGGTAAGAATTTTGATAATTAAGGAACCATTAAAGTAAGAGCTACAATTATCAAGAACAGTGAAGAAGTTTGGCTTTGTTAAATATAATTATGAATCTCAGAATATTTATTCTGAGATTCATAAATTTGTGTTCACCGCCTGTGCTCTCGCTTGTTTCATTTTTTCCTGCTGAATTTCAACGCGACAGATATAAAGATATGTTGTGCACCAATATATTACTGTGTCTAATGTCTTTATATGCTTATAATTACACATGTGGTCAGTATTGTAAAGGAGGAGGAGTTCTCATAGATTGGTGGGGGGGTTCTACCCATTCTTTTTGTTCAAAAGACGACGATAAAACAAACTGTGCATGAAAAGAAATTCTTATCATTTAGTATTTACTCCAATATTATTACGATCCATGTTTTCTATAATAGCAGTACTCCAAAGCTTTGATCTAAACTATTATGTGTTTTGTCTGTGAAGATTCATATAATGAAGGAGTGTGCTTTTTACAATGCTTTCCATGTGCCAAATTTCCATTTTGTTCTTTTTTTTTTTTTTACTCTTTTTGGGGTATTCCTAGAATAGCGGACGTTCCATAAATAAAGAATTCAAAATCCGTGCTTTTCAAGTTTGCTTTGTGCATTTTATTGTCCTTCGGTGCGCATCTGTTGGGTGGCGATGGTACCTTCTGCATCCCTCACTGCCGTAGCTTTGACTCATTACAAAAACTCGCAAACCATGTCGGCGCCACTGAGAAACAAGCTGATGTGTTCGTAACAGAACATGGAGAATGGATCGACTTAAAGAAAAATAATCCAAGAGGCAGAGATCGGGGGGTGGGGGTTGCAGGAGGTGAAAGAGAGGGTGATCGTCGGCTCACCGGGCGTACGTTTGTAAAAGAGGAGGGAGATTCACTAATGAACGCCTGGAAACGAGGGAGGAAAGGGGGTTAGACGGGGGAGAGGACAAGATGGAGGGAACGGACGGGAATGCAAAGCAACGCTCTGTGAAACAAGTCAGGCAGCGAGGGCAGGCTGTGCATATTTCATGGCTGCCACTTATCATAAGAGCCTTTCCATGATGGGGGAGCGCAGGTCTGATGACTTCAAGGAAATAACATGCAGAACACGGCCTACATACACACAACCCCGCTAAGCCACTCAAGCACTCCTCGCCGCCTCTAAAGCTGCTCTCAATCCACCATACAAGCTGTTATGCTGCTGCTCTGACTGGCTGCACCGTTCCCTTTTTCAATAATTGTACCGCGCACCATTTACTACCCGCAGCACATTATGGTGTTAACAAGCATGGACACAAATTACATGCGCTGATTTTTTTGACTGGGCTGTCGTAAAATGTAATGGGAAGGCTAAAGCTGCTGCGCTGCCACTGCGGTGTATGCAAGGCTGGCAAAGGCAAGCCAGGAGTAGAAGTCATTCATTTGAAGATAAAAACGGTGCTAATTTGGTCCTACATTGATCTAGGAGTAAAAATGTGTCAAGCAACGACTGGACGGCATTAAGGGAGTTACGGTTTGCTGTCTGATTTGAGGAAGAACAAGTTATTTTTGCAAAAAAAAAAAAGAATAATAGCACATCTTGTTCTCCAGGAGGACAAGATTTTTCTAGAAACCTGCATGTTTAAAAACTTTTTTTTCTTCCGCCAAAATATCCAACTGATCTATAATTGGTCCAGTTTTGTCTAAAGTTGACGCAACAAATTTTGCAGCTCTGTGTGGCGCCTCGGTCTGTATTATCTTTGGCTCTTTTGTCTCTGTAGCATCCAAGTGGGTGATAGTCACGCTCCAGTTGTGCCTCATGTTTCTCACTGACAATTTGGAAAATTGGTAAGAAAAAAGTGATGCCGTCACTTGGTGTAGAACAACTTTAAACTGTGGAAATCTCACACCTCTGTTTTTCGGTTTCTGCCTGTGAATGCACCACATTTTTATTTAACGTGTGATCAGCTGGTTCCTCCCTGGTTAAGACTGCCAGCCCACCCATTGGATTAGGTTAGGATTGTTTTTCATTTTTATCTGTTTTACAAATAATTCACGCTTTACAAGAAATAGTTTAAAGAGTGCAGCAGCTTTAAAATTCAGTATAATTCAGCTCTGGTCTCTGAATTATACATGCATATTGATTGAATCTGTGATGTTGAATATGAATTTTATTGATGATCGAAACAAAGTGAAAAGTTTCTTGCATTGACTTAGTGTTTTGTTTCTTTGTCTGAAATGATAGACGATTTACCTTAGGTTAATAGTTTGACATTTAAGAAAAACAATTGTTGCTCACAGTCACAGCAGAAGATAAATTCCGCTACGTGAATTAAATAAGAAGATGGAAGCAGCAAAGGGCTCATTGATTATGAAAGCTGAAAACAAATGTGAACGGCTTATCGTGTTTTGTAATAAAACGATCCCGCCTGCTCTGGTTAAGCTTGTGTGCCGACACATTTAATCTGCAGCCTGTGAAAAGAGGCAACATTTGCAGACATTTGCACCATCATCACATGTTGGCTCGTCTACTCGGTGGGTAGGCTCATACGTTCCCAATCGATTGTTTAAGATGGAGTTACACTGAACACAACAACGTCCAGAGACTTAAACTCCTTAATATTGTCTCCCTTTGGTGATCAGGTTGTGTCTCTAGTGGCAACTTGGGCCAGATACACAGCTGACCGACGGCTCACATGAACCAGTGGAGAAAGAGAAGTGGTCAAGGAAAGACATGCCTTGTGTTCATCAGTCCTTATTAATATGAAGCACAAAGTCAATGTGACTATGAAACGTGGATTTGCTTGCTTTTTTTTTTTTTTTTTTTTTTGCTGGCATCTGTATTTCATCCAGCGTCGCTGTAAAGCAGGAGGGAGTCCTCTCTCTCTGCAACAGTGAACTCCAGCACTCGGGCCGTGTAAAGTTTGCATTGGGTCTGGATGGAGTATTCGGCGAACACTGCGAGGCGCGGAGCTGCTGTATAGTGTGATAATTAATTCCAAATGTTGCGGCCTCCCAAATTAAAGCCAGTGGCTCCGGCACAATGCGGCAGCCGCTTATCAGCCCGAAACAGGTCAGCGTTCGATACCGCCTTTTTTTTCATTCCTTCCCACTTCACCTCCCCTCTCCTTGGTCCCTCTCTCTCTCTCTATGTGTGTCTCTCTCTCTGTCTCTCTCTCTCTCTGTCTCTATTTCTCTCTGTGTGTCTCTCTCTCTCACTCTCTGTGTCTCTCTGTGTGTGTCTCTCTCTCTGTCTCTCTCTCTCTGTGTCTCTCTCTCTATCTCTCTCTCTGTATCTCTCTCTTTCTCTCTGTGTGTCTCTCTCTCTCACTCTCTGTGTCTCTCTCTCTGTCTGTGTCTCTGTGTGTCTCTCTCTGTCTCTCTTTCTCTCTGTGTGTGTGTCTCTCTCACTCTCTGTGTCTCTCTCTCTGTCTCTCTCTGTCTGTGTCTCTCTCTGTGTGTGTCTCTCTCTCTCTGTGTCTCTCTCTCTGTCTCTCTCTCTCTCTCTCTCTCTCTCTCTGTCTGTCTCTCTCTCTCTGTCTCTCTCTCTCTGTCTCTCTCTCTGTCTCTCTCTGTCTGTGTCTCTCTCTGTGTCTCTCTCTCTCTCTCTCTGTGTCTCTCTCTGTCTGTGTCTTTTTGGAACTCGGAAAATCTGCTCCCAGATGCATCGATGCACGTTTCCTGTTATTTAACCAAAAAATAATAATAAATGTAGGTGCGGCTTGTAGTCCGGAATTACAGTACTCTTAGTTATTTGACAACTTCTCGCTACAGAGCAAACATTCAGGCAACAAGTGCTAACGATTCTGCTGTTTGCCTCTTTTGCCCTCCATGACCCACCACGCCACTACCTCACGCCCAAGAAGCCCCTATAAGCTGATGATGGTCCTTGTGTGTTAGAAATGAATGGAAATGTGGCAGCTTTTATTTACTGCATCCAGAACACTCTGCTTCTCCGCTTTCCATTTCTAACAGCCTTTTTCTTTTTCTTGTTTTGTTTTTTTTTTCTGCACCACATGCCTGCTGAGCCGAAATGTGCAATGGCACTTCCCTGTCCAGGAGAACCCGTCTGCTACTATCGCTACACACACGATTCCCTCTGAGTCACCGTTGTCCACAGTCTCTCCAGTGTTTCTCTCTCCTCTCTTGGAAATTCTCTCATGTTCTCATTTTGCTCTCAGTATTTACATTTTGTGATCTTTTGTTCGTGGGATTCCCCCCTTTTTTACTCGTATGGCACATGAAAAAGTTTTAACTTGAAGATTTATCCAGAGAACTTTGCATCATATTGCATTAGATTGGATTTTATTTTTTTTTTGGTATAATGTTTTACTATCATAAACAAAGGAGGTCGTGGATCCAAAGTTCCAACTCTCAAGTTCCCAGTTCAAACGCCAAACCACTGCATTTACGCCAAATCTGCGTGAACGTCGAACGTCTTTTTGGTGCCTCAACATGATAATATTTGTCACACAATCTCAACAACACTGATGTTGTTGGTCATATGTTTTCCAAGGCCTCCACAGAGAGATACCAGGCATCATGGAGGTAAGTAATGTGCAAGCGCCTTTCCTGGAAATACACGCAATTGTGAGAATCTCTTTAGAAGCACTTTGTGTTGCGTTGATGCATAATGTTATAATGTTACGCTGGTACCACTGAAACAACTACAATCAAGACATATTGGGAATGCATAAATTTTGCTCATTTTAAGTTCATGACATATTCTTGATTTATAGACGTTTATAGATGTGAACTACTGACCAGAACCTTGAATCAGACATTTTCTCTCAGCTTTTCCCTTTGCATACACACGAATATAAGCAATAGAAAACTCCTGCAGGGCGATCTGTTTTCTCGCTCTTGGTGTGCGACTTCATCGATTCGCGCTTTCGAAACCTTTCTAACTCCGCTCAGACATGTGAGGTGAGGCTTTTTGGTTTTGGCTGAAAGCGCATCACAACATAAACGCATACATTTGTGTTCGCTTGTCAGCTGAAACCCATCGATAGCCTGAGGTCTGAGTCTTATCCCGCTTTACGAACATCTTGTTTTGTCCGGTGGTAAAATGGTGCTTTCGCCGCAGTGGCAGCTAAAAAAAAAAAAAAAACTCACTTAGATTTAAGATGTAAAAAAGTCTGCAGTTTTATTAACAATCTGATAAAATGAAACATTTACTGTTTTCAGTAAATGTTTTCTTCTTTTTGCTCTTCTGGAGCAAAAAGAAGAGCGAAATATCTCAAGAAACTTGGTCACAACAGGACAAATTATTTCTTTACGTTGCCTATATGTCCTGCCACACACTTTAATGTTAAGTCGACTGGTTGAAGCATTCGGTTGGCTAATCGCTCCTTTTTAAATCCCTGCCTGACTGTGTGGTTAAAAACCTGGATGGAGATATGTTGGAGTCGGGGAAATGATCAGATCCTATTACGATCAATGCAAGAGTCTGAATTTCCTCCTGGACTGCATCCCAAAATCCTCCTTTTCCACATCTCTGGGGTCATAGTTCAGGTGTTATTTAAGCTTTTGAGATGCTAATCATCTGCTCCCGGGTATGAAAACAACCTCGTTGCCACGGTTGTTTTTCACTTTACTGTCGGAAAGTGAAAAATAACCGAAAGCAGAGGGAATGACTGTTCAAGCATGCCTCAAATGGAAAAACGAATAAACTAAAATGCAAAAAGAGCCTAACCTGAAAGAGTTACTGCAACATGCTGTCACCATCTGAAGTATAATTCTACAATTTAAGTTTTCAACAACACAAAAAAGATGCAAAGCACTTTGAAATACCTTGTTGCTGAAAGTTGCTCTACAATTAAAACTTGACTGACTGATAAGTTGATGATCTACTCTGAGTTGTTAAACGGCACTTTGCTCTCTCCCTCCCATACATTTCATCCCATCCCTCTCCAAAAACGTTTCCGTTCTTATTTCATTTTTCACCCTGTCGTCTCTCCATCGTTGCACCATCCGCAACTTTCAAACCCCACTCGCAGAGAAACCGCCGGGACACCTGTAACTTTGACAAGGAGTTCACCAAGATGGCTGTGGACCTGACGCCGACGGACAAGCTCGTCATCATGAACCTGGACCAGGACGAGTTCCTCGGATTCTCCTACACCAACCCTGAATACGTGGCTCCTAATTAATTTAACACACTAGGATGGACAATAAAGAGAGGTAGAAAATAAGGTCTTAGCACAAAATTGAGGCAAAAAGAAAGAAAGGCGACAAAAATTGTTCTTATTTCGTGTGTGTTCACCAAATGTCTTTTTTTCTTTTCTTTTAGATGTTACTTAGGTTTGAGTCAATCACTAATCCCAGAGATTTGGAAACGAGATGAAGAGATTCCGATCTCTCCAGATGAAATCTGATCAAACCCAAAATGAGCCGACTGCCGCCGTTTCATGTATTCATTTTACGCCGCTGCGAGAAAAACAATGGATTCTCTTGAGTTGGTCCTCATTATTTTAACACAACAGTGAAAAGCTCTTTCGTTTGAGTCCCTCATTCACGTTTTCCTCACGTAAAATTAGCAGGTCTCAACCACAGCGTCACTAATG